CGTCCGTCCGTCTCCCCGTCCGCCCGTCTCCCCGTCGGTCCGTCTCCCGTGGGGCGCCGCGCGACCCACACCGTCTGCCTGGGGTCACAGTCACAGTCAGTCACAGCCAGTGACACCCACACTCACAGTCACAGTCTCCCCGTGGCAGTCACAGTCACAGCGTGCACTTGTTACTGTCGTGTGTCAATACATATGTACTGGTATGTACATCTCCCTTGCATTTACCATGCTGTATCCATGATACCGATTCTACAATGTCTCGTATAATCAAATAAGGAGCGTCTATTGTATCGTGCTCCGGCCGACCTGACCCCGGTGCCGTCCCCCCTCCCCCTCCGTCCCAGCCTGCCCCAGAGTCCTTCCGTACCAGATCAGTCGGCTAACGAGGGCCAATCACAGCCTGAAAAAGGCCGGGCAGAGCCCGGAGACGAGTATAGCCTTCCCGGCGCCGCGCCGGCGGCGCTTCTCAGGACACGGGAGATGGAGGGTTGATGTGGACCTGAGCACGGCTCGTTGGAAATCGGATGGATTTCGAACCTTCGATTCGAAGGACGATGCTATCGACAACATGGTATGGTATACTTAATAAACTAATCGAAACTATTCATCCCCTACCGCGATGCGGTAATTTTTTTTCTTTAGACATTAGAAAAGGGTTATTATTCGTAGGTACTTAATTGCAATCGTATGCGTAATAATGTAATATATATATTTTTTTGTCACAGTGCAGTACTTACATAACTCTAATACGTTTGTGGGCTCGACCGGGAATGCTGATTGATGACACATGAGCATCGAATTTGCTCTGCTCGATAAATGGCGTGCACGTAAGTACCTGCCGCTTGTGGTCGAGCCTCGACCGGCGCTCGGGCCGCCACCTGCACATCGGCTCGGGCCCACCGACTGAGACCACCACATGTGCACTTACCAAAGTCAGCCCACCCGACCCGGGCCGCGGTAACGGCGAGCAGGACCACCGCGCGGCGCCGGGGCCTGGCGTCAGCACCAAGGGCCCACCGGAGGGCGGCGTCAGCACCAAGGGCCCACCAGAGGGCGGCGTCAGAGGGGCCCAGAGGGCGGCGTCAGAGGGCCCTACCAGAGGGCGGCGTCAGTGGGCCCACCAGAGGGCGGCGGGCGGCGTCAGAGGACGGCGGAAAGTTGTCACATCGCCACCTGCGAGCCTCGAGCTGGGCGGCGCAACTTGGCACACCCACTAACTATCCTAATGCGGCAACTTTGCCCGAACCTGGGCGAATAGTTATGCAATGAAAGCAGCCCGAGAGAATGAATGCAGCGAACTTCCTGAAAATGTGAGACAGTCGACGGTCTTTTGTTGTATGTTTCTATGCCCGGAGCGGCCACCTTGGGTACCCATATATCAGCACTCGACCACTCGTATTTGCGCTTGGGTCCTTCGGATTTGTCAAATATAAAGAGTCACATTAAATTAAGGTTTATGTCTGAAAGCGCTTGCTTAAGGCTCCTAATAATTAGTTTAATTATGAAAGAAAACTGCAGCTCCATAATATCAAAGACATTTTAAAGAATGACTGAAAATAAAACTGATAACAATTTCGGGCAAAACCTATCATAAGCCACCAATGGACTCAGGAAGACCTGCCGAATCGAATGATATGTGATATGACTTCCTTTGACCAGCTTCGTGACCTGAGGGGCTCTGACCTGACTCCTAAAGTTTACCTCACCCGAACAAAAAGTATTGGAATAAAGTTTAAGCATTATATAAATGTTCAAATAAAATAAATTAATAAGTAAATGAATAAATAGATAGATAGATAAACAAATAACATAAATAAAATGAAATAAAAGTATTCGACGCGCTTGAGCTTATAGGTGAACATGATGATGCCAAAATCGCGACCCTGCCAACATTTAGGTAATAGTGATTGGTGAGGTCACGTGACCGACCTGGCCTCATGTGACGTTAACCCTCGCCGGCACAGGGGGGGGGGTTGATGCAACCCCCCCTAAGGTTTTTCGCGAATAACTCGCGTAAAAAGCGGCCGATCGCGACGAAACTTTCAGTACCTTCGCATTGATCAATTTTACACCTATCCTGAAAATTTCATGACCCTGACCCCAATGACCTTTGACCTGTGACCTCTTTTCCGTGACCATGTTTGGCCGAAATCGCGATTCGGCGTATGTCGGCTCGCATTAGCCGCGCGTTTGCAAGCTTTTCGTGGTTTCAAACGTTCAAACATGTGATTTGATGTTGCTCCCATACATTAGGGTGGGTGTCAAGGTCACCTGAAGGTCAGGTCAGGTCATTGACCTTTGGTGACCTCGGGTGACCTCGGTTCACTTTTTTGAGTTTTACATGTTTCTAGGCTAGTTTTTGGAGCTGAATTCGAATTTAGCAACCATTTGAACAATTACGAAGTAGTTTTGGTGCCTTCGTAACATGTTACGAAGCTGTCAGAGGCGGTTGACAGGTATTACGAATACCCGTCACAACCCCTACCGGTTGACCTGACCTGACCTGACCCGACCTGGTCTAAATGCTTAAATACATCATCTCTGATCAAAACTAACACGATATTCGTGATCAGCACCCCGGAAAACCACATAGTAGCCACACTTTACGACTTTCTAACAGGTCCCGATTTTCCCGGTTTTCGGGTCATTGACCTGACCTGGAAGGTCACCCGATGACCTAGGACCTTAACCCGCGCACCGACGGGGGTCTGCGGCCTGCGCCAACTTCGCACCGACGGGGGGGGGCGGATGACCGCCCCCCCTGAGATCTCGAGAACGAAGCAAGATAGCGACAAGCGGTAAACGGCATCGGATACGCACGGTCAAGATCTACAATTTTTACAAAGGTCATTTTCAGGTCAGGTCAAAGATGACGTCACAGGGGTCGAAAAAGTCAAAATGGCGGCGCTAGATATGGAGAGAGTTTTTCTCGAATAACTTTCGAATTAGTCAAGATAGGAACAAACTAAGGGCATCATCGTGATCCTCTCGTCAATCCGCATCGAATGATATATATGTTGACCTCGAAAGGTCAATGTCAAAGGTTGACCTCAGGTCACGTGACCTCGAGGTCATCATGTATATCAGTCGATGCGTCTTGACGAGATGAACACAATAAGACTATCCACGCGTCTGTATCTTGTTCCTGTACGGAGTTATTGGCCAAAAACCTTTGGTGACCTTTGATGACGTCACATGACCTCACAGCTGCCCAACAGCAAAACAGACCTCAAGGTAGTGAAGGTTGATCGTATATGAAGTCATGTATGGTATATGGGGCCATTCCGACCCGTTTTAGTGGTAAAAACTGGGAGTTGATTTTCCCCCATTGACTTATAATGGGGAGGTCGCGAAATTGACCTGACCTTAGGTCACCGATATCAAAATTCCGAGATATACAAATTGTAGCTACTAATGACCTAATAACATCCTGCGACTTTCAAAGGCCTCCGACATCTACTGTAGCTCTGGCACGGTGACAAAGTTGCAACAAAGTGACTTGAGGTTGGGTCATTCAAAGTGACCTGGTGACCTGACTTTGAAAGGTAGGAGGTTCAAACTTGCACACCATGTGTAAAATTGATGAGGGAATAGTCGTACCAAATTTCCCGCTATTCGCGAAAAACCTCAGGGAGGGCGGATATCCGCCCCCCCCCCCGTCGGTGCGCGGGTAAAAATTGGGTATCATCGGCTTCCTCTCGTGACGGGCAACACGCTCATTTTTTCCGCGAAGCTCTAGCTCGATCAGGGGCCAAACGCGAGGGGGGGTCGTACCAACCCCCCCCCCCCTTGTGCCGTCGAAGGACGCAAAATGGCCTGTGCCGGCGAGGGTTAAGGAAACATCCGAGATATAAAAGTTGTAAGACTTCTGGAGGATACTATGTCCTTAAAGTTTCAGCTCCCTGTGAAAGCTCTTGTGGCATTGAGGGCGTTGCAAAGTTGCGGCATTCTAGGACCGTGCAGAGTTTCAGTTATGCCCCTGTGGGCGGCGTAGTCCATCTTACGAGCTATCGCGAAACTGGGGGGACGCGGCCTCCCCCCGGGCCGGCGAGGGTTCAATCAATGGCCCTGTCTGACAATGGTTGGACTGGCACCAGCGGCACCTGAGCCGCCTCCATGCGACACTGCTCTCCGCCCAGCGTGGGACAGCTTCAATGCCATAATTCTTGTCCGCACAGCTTCTGAAATTAAAAGCCTTTTGAGAGCAAAGTTAGTTGGCCGATGAAGTTTCTCAGAAATATTGTTCACGCACTGCTGGAGTGATTGTGGCCCCCGGCAGCCGAGATGCAGTGTACCACAGCCCGGTATCGGCGGTATCACAGCCCGGTATCGGCGGTATCGCAGTCCGGTATCGGCGGTATCACAGCCCGGTATCGACGGTACCACAGCCCGGTATCGGTGGTATCACAATCCGGTATCGGCGGTATCACAGCCCGGTATCAGCGGTACCACAGCCCGGTATCGGCGGTACCACAGCCCGGTATCGGCGGTACCACAGCCCGGTATCGGCGGTATCACAGCCTGGTATCGGCGGCATCACAGCCCGGTATCGGCGGTACCACAGCCCGGTATCGGCGGTACCACAGCCCGGTATCGGCGGTACCACAGCCCGGTATCGGCGGTATCACCGCCCGGTATCGGTGGTATCACAGCCCGGTATCGGCGGTATCACAGCCCGGTGTGAGGTGTATCTCAGTAGTCACTGCAGTGGCTGCAGTAGCACAGCCCGGGATCGGTGGTATCACAGTCCCGTGTATCACCGCATCACAGCTCGCTCTCTCGCAGTATCACAGCCCGGTATCTCATCCCGCTCTCCCTCCGTCCCGGTGTATCACCGTATCACAGCCCTGTGTATCACAGTATTGCAGCTCCCTGTCCCGGTGTCGGCAGTACCACAGCCCGGTATCACAGCCCTGTGTATTACAGTATTGCAGCTCCCTGTCCCGGTGTCGGCAGTACCACAGCCCGGTATCACAGCCCGGTCGCCCCGGTGTCGGCAGATCGGCACGTGGCGCTCCTGGGGCGGCAGTCAGGGACAGGGCGACCTGGACATCAAGGACATCGTCTGGCCCGGCTACTCGCATCTGCCGCCGGAAGGTGAGACACGCTTACCAAACTTCACACATCACACTGAGGTGATACCTTACCAAACCTCACATATCACACTGAGGTGATATCTTACCAACCCTCGCACATCACACTGAGGCCAGACTTACCAAACCTCACACATCACACAGAGGTGATATCTTACCAAACCTCACACATCACACAGAGGTGATATCTTACCAAACCTCACATATCACACTGAGGTGGGACTTACCAAACCTCACATATCACACAGAGGTGATATCTTACCAACCCTCACACATCACGCAGAAGTGATATCTTACCAAACCTCACATATCACACAGAGGTGATGATATCTTACCAACCCTCACACATCCCACTGAGGTGATACCTTACCAAACCTCAACTATCACACAGAGGTGATACCTTACCAAACCTCACACATCCCACTGAGGTGGGAGTTAGTACTGAGTAGCACTGAGTACCAGCCCGCACACACACAGAGGTAGGACTTGCCTAGCCTTACCTATCACCAAAATGCGGGGTTTACTTATGCTCGTATATCACCCAGAGAGGAGAATAAGCAACTCAATTTTAAGCAATCAGCTGCGCTACGATCTTTGCCAAATGTTCCATGTGTATGTTCATAGTGTTATTTTGCGAAACTGAGGCGACGCGTCGCCCTTGTGGGCGGTGTTGTCCATCGATTTCGTCAATCGCAGGCAGGGATCCCTCCTGATTTCGCCGTCTGCCCGCCGGGCGATTGGCCTAACTCAGTTAATTAGTGGGCCGACGGAGGCGGAGGCGGCTGATACTGCACGAGCCGCCGTCCCCTGCCCTCCTGCCCGCTGTTCGGTCATCTCCTGTCCCGTTCTGTCCTGTTCTGTCCTATTCTGCTATGTTGTGCAATGCCCCGTACTATTCTGTTCTGCAATGTCCCGTACTATTGTGACTCTGTTCTGTTCTGCACTGCTCTGTCCTGTTGTACTATATTTCCTTGTTCTCTCCTGTGCTGTATTGCTCTGCCCTGTCCTGCCCTGTTCCATTCAGTGCTGTTCTGCCCGGCGCCCTGCAGGCGTTCCGGAAAAGTTTCCCTGTTGCATTCAGTGCTGTTCTGCCCGGCGCCCTGCAGGCGTTCCGGAGAAGTTTCATCTGTTGCATTCAGTGCTGTTCTGGCCGGCGCCCTGCAGGCGTTCCGGAGAAGTTTCACCTGTTCCATTCAGTGCCGTTCTGGCCGTCGCCCTGCAGGCGTTCCGGAGAAGTTTCCCTGTTGCATTCAGTGCTGTTCTGCCCGGCGCCCTGCAGGCGTTCCGGAGAAGTTTCCCTGTTGCATTCAGTGCTGTTCTGCCCGGCGCCCTGCAGGCGTTCCGGAGAAGTTTCCCTGTTGCATTCAGTGCTGTTCTGCCCGGCGCCCTGCAGGCGTTCCGGAGAAGTTCCACCTGCGTGTGGTGTTCATGGAGGACTCTCCGTACGTGATGCTGGACCCGCCCGATCCCGTCACTGGAACGTGCGCCGCCAACAAGGGCGTGCTCTGCCGCGTGGCCAACGAGACGGCGCTGCACGGGTACGTGCACACAGGTCACCACAGGGTCGCAGTATGCCAATTGTCTAATGTCGCCGTAAACTGATTATCATTTGACGCGTCTGGATAAGTGAAACACGATGCAAGTACAATAGTATCGATATATGTTCTATTATATATGTATATTGGTATCGATATCATTCAACCTTACCTGTGGCCATATTGGACTAAAACAAATATCCAAACAAATTTGATATCAATACCTAACAGACATTTTTAGCAATGCTCTAGCTCTAGTTAATAGCCCAATATCCAAGGTGTAGAAATGTCAAAATGACCTGAGATGAACACGGATGACCTGGCTTTGACTTGGCCTGAAATGCATGCACTCGCAAGTATCTACTTGATATCTATTTTTGCGGCCTTTCGTGCGCCACTCATCGCTTATCGCCGCATGGCTCAGCAGTCGAGTCGTCTGGGAGATTAGCGGGAGGCGCGATACCCCTCCCTCGCCCCGGTTCGATATGTGGCGATCACACCTCGACTGGCACAGTGCGGGATAAACGCGCCATGTTTCCTCCCTCTTCGATGTGTGTACTGCACCCATTGATCATTTACTCCAGTGTACAGCATGGTCAGAAGAGTGCATGTTGTGGCATTAGATTGGAATACACCAGAAAGGCCACTGTTTAAGGACACTGAGCACTGAGCTGTCTATGCCTCTGTAAGTAATTTGTGTAAGTATATTATGTGCCTGAGTGCATATGTATACTGATCTGTTCCTGCACTCCCAGGGTGAACATGACGGAGGCGCGGGTGTACTGAGCTGTTCCTGCACTCCCAGGGTGAACATGACGGAGGCGCGGGTGTACTGAGCTGTTCCTGCACTCCCAGGGTGAACATGACGGAGGCGCGGGTGTACTGAGCTGTTCCTGCACTCCCAGGGTGAACATGACGGAGGCGCGGGTGTACTGAGCTGTTCCTGCACTCCCAGGGTGAACATGACGGAGGCGCGGGTGTACTGAGCTGTTCCTGCACTGCCAGGGTGAACATGACGGAGGCGCGGGCGGACCCGCGCCTCTTCCGCTGCTGCTCCGGCTTCTGCATCGATCTGCTGGAGAAGTTCGCCGACGACCTGGGCTTCACATACGACCTCTTCAGGAACGAGGACGGCCTCTGGGGCGCCCAGGTGGTGAGTGTGCGTGTCCCCCCGGCCACTGGCGCGCCCAGGTGGTGAGTGTGCTGTCTCCTCTGGCCTCTGGCGCGCCCAGGTGGTGAGTGTGCTGTCTCCTCTGGCCTCTGGGGCCCTCAGGTGGTGAGTGTGCTGTCTCCTCTGGCCTCTGGCGCGCCCAGGTGGTGAGTGTGCTGTCTCCTCTGGCCTCTGGGGCCCTCAGGTGGTGAGTGTGCCCGGGACGGTATGTAGACTGCAGCCGTCGTCTGTATGTAATTACCGGAGCCGGCCGCCTTCCGCTCAGCGCTCACTGCTCCGTCCTCTGAGCGGCAGGGTCAGACGCGGCATCCCTGAGTGGCCTCCGCCTTCCTGCCGCCTTTAATCTGGCCGGTGGCGGCGCCCTGCCATTTGTCTCCCCCCCCCTCCCCTAGTTCCGCCTCCGTGTAGAGAAGGCCTTTGCCCTTGAGGCCCGGGGCTTCCATCGCAGTATGGACGGCTTAGAAATGAGTTGCCATTGCTTCTTAGAAATGATGGTCTCATACAGCGCAATTTTAACCAATCGAAAAAGAGGTTCAACTAAACTGAATTTCCTTGCCGTGGGTTTATATTTTTTTTTTTGTTACTACCAAAGAAGCTTAGAACCAGAACCTTAAAGAAAAAGTATTAAACCGTTAAGGGAGAGACTCCCACATTTTGACCACACAAAGCACAAAAATAACATCTTGATTTCACGCATCTAATAATTCTTTATTTCAATTCAACACCAACGGGCAGCATATCCAGTAACAGGTGCAATAATATCATATGTAATATATCAGGTATCATAATGTAAAAATGATATATTACGTCGGTTTTAATCATCAGATAGTTTTGAATCAGGTCTTAATGCCTCCCCATCACGAGGAGGGGAGTGTAGGTAGTGATTTATGTTGCTGTTTTTTTTCCGCAGCACGAGGATGGCAAGGTGCGCTGGAACGGCCTGCCGGGCGTGCTCATCAACAAGAAGGCCGACATGGTGATGACGTCGTTCAAGATCAACTCGTACCGTCAGACGGCCGTCGACTTCACCGTGCCCTTCCTGGACACCGGCGTCAGCATCGTGGTCTCCAAACGCACCGGCATCATCTCCCCGACGGCCTTCCTCGGTGGGTGCACATCTCCCCAGCCAGTGTCCTGAAATTGATTTTTCGGAGAGTGTGATTGAAGCCGCAAGGACGTCAGTATTTCATAAGGACGTCGATATCGGTGCGGAGCCTCAGCCACTGAAGATCCCTTAAATCTCTTAAAATTAGCGATTTTCACTAGCAATTTTGACTAATAGCACCTCAAGGCACCTCAAAGGATCATATGTATACACAAAGTAATGCCAGTTTACCCCTAGTACAATACAAATTTCAATCATGCATCAGAAACACCAAAACAACACTTCGAAGATGTTTAGTTCTTGTCCATGATCGTACACAACAGTCAGTGACAAATATGCTTCAACAAAAATCAGCCCAAGAGCCAGCGGCTATCACTAAATATTGACGTCATAAGAGGGACATTATATCGAGCAAGAGGGGTGACGTAAAAAAACAGACGTCCAAACAAAGAGATGGAAAACAGCTAGGAAAATTAATTTCCATAGCTTCCTGTTATGAAATTCAATTAAGAAAACTCCAAGGTAGACGCTGAATTTTTCTTGTCTGGAAAAGATGTGAAATCATCGTGCACTTTTCAGTTTTGTACCGACGTCGATTTAATGGTAATGACAAGGTCAATCGACGTCCCCAACATTGCGTGTATTTTTAGGGCCAAAGACGACATACTTAAATTAAAACTGGTGAAATTCGGTAACTTATTTTAATTCAAATAAATAAACACAAACTTTTTTCCCCAACCACTATCAACATATGCAAAATTAACTATTTTTGAAGTGTAGGTTCAAGGGGCAGCGCTACCCCGTTACTGTGACCTTCTGAGGGGAAAAAATAATTAAATATGTTACAGTGATTTGGTACAAAAGGTATGTTGTGTGCTTATAGATAAATGTCGAAGTAATATATTCGCATGATTAATTTTTATCAATACACTGCACAGTTACTAAAACTGAAAAGTGGAAAACGACGTCCTCAGATCCCTCTATTCCGACGTCTTTTCTCCTTCATATGGCAGCTATTACCTTCACATGATAAAGGAAAAAACCTATCCATATCTGACGCACAGAAAACGAAAATAAAACCGCGTTGTTTACTGTTGCGGCAGTTCGCCAGCGGCGTTGGAAAGGGGAGTTGAGTATAAGAGTGGGTTTGTGAGGCCTTGGGATATATTTATTGTCATTTTGCACAGCCGTGTTTTTAAACCACAGAGGTGATATTTCTTTTTGTGAGTGCTTTTGGTGTTCGATATACCTGTCTACTTTTATCTGTCAGGGACGTCGTTTGGCTTTCCGGGACGTCACAAAGAGAATCTGTTCGGGTGTGGGTTTCCACCCAAATTCACGAAAATCAGGACACTGTCCCCAGCGTCTACCCAACGTCTACCCAACATCACTCCGACATCTCCCCGGCATCTTTCCAACATCTACCCGACAGCTACCCGACACCTCCCAACACCTCCCCAACATCACCCCGACATCTCCCCGGCATCTTTCCAACATCCACCCAACCTCTCCCCGACATCTCCCCAACACAAGCTCCCCGTCATCTCCCCGATGCAGATGGCCCTCCTCGGTGGTGTGCACTGCACGCTCACACCCACCTGCACCCTTGCGTCACCACCACCCACTGCATCTACTCGCCGGCGTCACTATAGCGTCAGTTTTACTTGCCGCATGATTTATCTATTCAGCGAACAAATTTCTCTGAATTTTTAGCCGGCTTTGTGAAATTGAGGTGTGGTTATTTTTTTGCGTCGACTTATATGTTTTCCTCTTATTAATCCAACTGAGGCGGCGCTCAGAATAGCCGGTATTGTATCAGAGAGTGTGTTATTTCAGTCGACACATACATGCATACATACTTCCCAGTACCTTCTCCTCTCCACCTCCTACCCCTACCTTCTCCCATAGCGATCTACACGACCACATTATCATCTTCCCATCATTATCTCCACACCACATCTGCGCCGTGATCTGCCCACGATCTCCCGGTCATCTCTCCATCTCCCCTGGTCCGACCTCGTCACTCAGTGGCACACCGAGTCCCATCTGCTGCCGTTCCGGGCTTCATCTGCTCTGGAGAGGCGCACCAAGCTGTAACATAAAACCGCGGCTCTTCAGCCCTGCAGAAGCCAAGGCGACGGACGACTCTCCACAGTCTGCTCTGAACTGGAGCTCATTTGGTTTAAGCTCTTCTTAATCGGATATGACTGGTGGGCGAGTCTTCTGTGAGGCGTGCCGTTCAGAGAGACCAGTTCCAGGAAAGCGCGCCTGATATAGTGGTTATTCAGTCTAATTTTAGACCAGCGGTCAGCCTCTCCGCTCTGGCGCGGTGGGTGCGAGTCCTCTCCGCTCTGTATTCCAAAGTCAGCCCTTCCGCGCAGTTCGCTGACCACCGGCGCTGGACACGGAAGTGCAGATGTCCTTTTTGCACGTGTCTGGCGAAAATCGGCGGTGTTTTTGCCACCGGCGGCGGGCGGCCGGGCGTGGCAAAACCGCCGGCCGGAGACAGTCGCCGCCGCCGCGCCGAATACAAACGGCCGCGGCCGCTCGCCGGCCCGAATTATTCATGTCCGTCGCTGACGCCGGGTGACGCTCACGGCTCGGTCCGGCGGGGGAGCCATTCATCAGGGACAGATTTATCGGGCGCCGGTCGGCGGCTGATCAGAGGTCCCCCGACCCGACCCGACTCGGCGGCGGCGGGACAGGTCCGGTCGGAGACCGAGCGCGGGCCACCGGGCCATCCGTCTATCACACCAACGGGCCATCGGGCCACCGGACTACCGGTACGGTCCATCACTCTACCCACCCATCGATCATGGCCATCAAGACAGCCCAGATTCAGCCCAGATTCAGCCCAGATTCAGCCCAGAGTGAGCCCAGATTGGGGACAACTCAGATCAAGGTAAATCGAGGTCATGACATATACCATTCCCATCCCGAGCTATTTGCTGGCACTCCCAGCCGTTTGACCTGCGGAGGTCAGCAAAGGTCACCTGACCCAAATTTGCACAGCAGTTTGCGGCCTACTCAGAAGAGCTAGAACACTAAAAATGACACCATACGACTCGAGATCTAAGTCTACTTTCCATTAGTAATTCGACCTCTCAGGGCCATCCGATGGCTCTGAGAATCCGGGCTGAATCCGGTCTCTGACGCGCGGGAGGTCGTTTATTTGTGCATGCATTTTGTCTTGCCGATGTCAGACGGGGTCACATATCGAGGAGCAGATTTCACGAAACGGCTACGGCTTATGCGCTACCCGATGGTGTGCTTTGGTTTGGAATTCGGCCCATCCTTATACTCGAGATCCGCTGTGCAAGCGTACTTTCGACATAACTCATAAATGACCTTAGGTCATCGCATGACCTTGAGAAGTCAAGTGCCAGTGGGAATGTAAGATTAGATACTGGCGAGTGGTTTGGTGTCATTTTTAGCGCTCTAGCTCTACTGGGTGGGCCACAATCTGCTGTGCAAATTTGGGTCAGGTGACCTTTGCTGACCTCTGTAGGTCAAACGGCTGGGAGTGCCGCCGAATGACTCGGACTGTGGGTTGCGTACGTCACGACCTACATTGTGTTCAAGTTTCAGCTCGACCTGAGGTGTCCCGAATCTGGGCTGAATATCGGCTGTCTTGACGGACATCTTATCGATCCACCGTCTTTCATATCCAGCAGTGGCGCGGACAGAGCTGGGCATTGCGCAACTTCAGTCCGCAACTCCGCAACTCCGCAACTTGCGGACTACCCTCTTGGTAGCGGAGTTACGGATCAACTACTGAGCCCAAAAAAGTTGCGGAGTTGCGAGTTGCGGAAGCGAACAATTATAAAGCGCAACCGCTACCGGGGCCGCCACCGAGATACAGGATTGAAGCGAGATACAGGTTCCAGGATAAGTTCATTGTGTTTATCTCGTCAAGACTAATCAATTGATATGCAACATAACCTTTTTGGGTCAGTAACCTTGACCTGAGGTCACTTTTTCAGTTTGACCTTTCGGTCATCCTGTATATTATTGATGACTTCAAAACGGCGCGCCTTGATGAGAGAAATGCTATGGTGATTGGTGATTAAATTGTTGACCCAGCAGAAGCTATGGCCGTTATGTCAGAAGTTTGCCCCCCCCCAAAAAAAAAAACTGGTTTGGGCAATGTAGGCTATTTTGGCGACTTTTGGCGCCTGGAGGTCCAACCGTCGACCTGAGGCCAAATCTGGCGCTTAACTCCAGACACCTGTACAGGGTGGGGCAGAAAGATTTACCTCTTGTTTTTTAGGGTGAAGTCGTATAAGAGTACGCACTTAGTGGATTTCTTGCTCTCATTTGTTTAATATTTGAAAGAAAGAAATCGCAAATAGGGAGAATTAAAGTTCATTGAATTAGCCATCAACTCATGGGGCAACGATCCTTCAGCGTAAATGGAAGTGGTCTAAAACTGACATTTTCTGAACCGCTGCAGTTGCGTACTCTTACCATATGGGGTGTGTAAGTGTACGCACGCCAGGCGGGTGGAGTACGCAAGCATATGAACACACACCTATGCGGCTTGTATTGTCCAAATGCTTAACTTCAAACTCAGAAGGCATTTAAGTTAATTCTAGTATCCAAAAAGAAAAACATAAAATAAATCTTTCAAGCCTATAAATCAGGAAATAATCATGTCGTGTGTTTCTTAAAAAAAAGTACAATCAAAAGGGAGAATAACTCGCATTTGGAAGAATTTCGGGTACGCATCTGCATCACAGTGCTCCATTGATGATATACCTACAAAACAAACGTCATTGAACGATAGATTAATAATTTTATATTTCTGTATATTCGATTTAATGTATAATTATGCGTACTCTTACCCTCCTGAACAGTGCGTCCTCTTACCGTACATGCAATTCGCGCACAAAACAACCCCGAAACGTTGTGCAAAACTTCGCTAACAGAATATTGCACTGCACAGTATTTCCCCAGATAACCTCACAAGTTTCCCACAACAATCACGGAAATGTACCTTATCTCAACTGCCAAGTATCAAAATTATTGTACCATACTATAATAATATCATAACGCTCGAAAATAATATTCATCGCCCTAAACTCAACAGCGTCGCCGCTCAACGCCCACGTTCCGTTGGTGACAAGCACGCACTGGCGGCTTCATGTCACTTCATGAACTCGACAAATCCGCGTTGCTAAGCAACCGAAACAGCTGATGAAACAGCCGAAACTCTTATCGCCCGCGTACTCTTACCCGCCCTTACCCTACAAATATTTCGGTCCCGAACAAAGGTATTCAATTGGTTTTTGGTACACATATTCAGTCTAGGGCCAGGAACCATCGGGGCAGCTTGTCCTCCCTATATTTGTGGCCGTGGGCTTCAAAGAAAAGCTGAATGGAAAACAATACCTATTTAAGTAAAAAAAAAAAAAACTCTCTACCTGACTTGACAGCTCATGTGTGGAAGCTTTAACCCGCGCACCGACGGGGGTCTGCGCCAACTTCGTACCGTACTCCCTGAGATCTCGAGAACGAAGCAAGATAGCGACAAGCAGTAAACGGCAAGGGATACGCACGGACAAGGTCTACAATTTTTATAAAGGTCATTTTCAGATCAGGTCAAAGATGACGTCACAGGGGTAAAAAAGTCAAAATGGCGGCGCTAGGTATGGAGAGAGTTTTCTCCAATAACTTTCGAACTAGTTAGTCAATATAGGAACAAACTAAGGGCAGCATCGTGATCCTCTCTCTCGTCAATCCGCATCGAATGATATATATGTTGAGTGTTGACCTCGAAAGGTCAAGGTCAAAGGTTGACCTCAGGTCACGTGACCTCGAGGTCATCATGTATATCATTCGATGCGCCTTGACGAGCTGAACACAATGAGACCATCCCCGCGGCTGTATCTTGTTCCTGTACGGAGTTATTGTCAAAAAACCGCTGGTGACCTTTGATGACGTCACATGACCTTACAGCTGCCCAACAGCAAAACAGACCTCAAGGTAGTGAAGGTTGATCGTATATGAGGTCATGTATGGTTTATGGGGCCATTCCGACCCATTTTAGTGGTAAAAACAGGGAGTTGATTTTTCCCCCATTGACTTATAATGGGGAGGTCGAGAAATTGACCTGACCTTAGGTCATCGATATCAAAATTCCGAGATATACAAATTGTAGCTACTAATGACCTTATAACATCCTGCGACTTTCAAAGGCCTCCGACATCTACTGTAGCTCTGGCACGGTGACAAAGTTGCAAAAAAGTGACTTGAGGTTGGGTCATTCAAAGTGACCTGGTGACCTGACTTTAAAAGTCAGGAGGTTCAAACGTGCACACCATGTGTAAAATTGATGAGAGAATAGTCGTAACAAATTTCGCGGCGCTACGCGCCGCGGTTTTCCCGCTATTCGTGAAAAACCTCAGGGGGGCGGATATCCGCCCCCCCCCCCCGTCGGTGCGCGGGTTAAACGTTTATTCCGGGCTACCAAAAAGGTATTTCCACTTCCTTGACTCAGATGAGACGGAATATCTCACTTTTTGCAAATGTTTTTGTTTCGATTTTTCGTTGTAAAGGCCAAGGGGTCAAAAAATAAGTGGCCTAAAACCGATGAGAAAACTAGATTTGGGGGTACCCTAGGTTCCGGGAAGGATCAGGTGTGCCCCCCCCATCCCAAATTACCTCTGATTAGCTGGCAAACGGATCAACTTTGGAGGGCCACCATTTGAGAACAAGGCAATTTTGGAATGAATGGCTTCGGATTAGGGTGTTAGCCACCTGCTTGTATGCCTACGTCACACTAAATAACTCCGAATAACTCCGAAATTCATAGCCTTAAATAACTAAATAACTCCGAAATTCTGAACAAAAACACTAATAATACCTTTAAGATGTGTTGTGAGCCGTGACTGTTGTATCACTATCATTTTGTCGCATGCATCCACTATGAAACAGACCAATAAATACATTGCCGTTTTTTCGAAAAAAAAAACACATTCAACCCCAAGCCCAGTGCTCTGCGTCACTGTTTGGCATGAGAGAAATCAACATACACTCTCGGAATTCGTTTGTTTGGAATTTGTGTTTGATGTTGTGTTTTTTTTTTTTTGCATGGCAAGCTCGGCGACCTAAAATGACCCGATTAAGTCTGACGTAGTGGATTGATAGTGGGTGTTTTTAAGGGACGCCGCGGGGCAATGGCCGTGTCAGCTGGACTCAGCGGCTGGATACGACCGATCCGCCACATCTCTGAGGGCTCGCCAGCCTCCGCGGCGCGGTGACTGCTGGGCGGCGGCCGGCTCGGGTCGGTGCTGCAGTCACTCCTTGTTCCACCGTCCCAGCCCGCGCCGCTGTGTGTTTGGCGCCGCGCTGGGACGCCGCCCGGCGCGCGGGTCGGGCCCCGGCTGCCATTACGGCGCCGTGATTTGTCTCCCTGTCCTGGCGCGGCGTGCTGTGGCGCGTTAATGAGCGGCGCGGGAGGCGGCTCAATGCCGGCACGGCGCGGGAGGCGGCTCAATGGACGCCGGCGGCTCACACGGGCCGGGCCGCCAAGCGCCGAGGAGCGCCGCCGCTGGCCGCCCTCAATGGTCACACTTTAATGAACAGCATGCTGAGCGGCACTGAATAACGGCGCTCAATAAGGGCATCATACAGCCGTCAGCCGGGCTTAGTGCGTTCCTGAGGGGACTGGGTGACAGCACTCACCGGTTTTCACGATCGCTCAGAACGATAGATGTACGTCGGATAGATGTACTCGGAGTAGATTACTGAGCTTAATGTCAGCTCGGCTTGATTAAGGCCGGACATTTTGGCAAAGGTACAGTTTTAGGTCGCCTGTGACCTGACCTGTCCCCGTCTGACCGCGGCCTGTGACATGACCTGTCCCCGTCTGACCGCGGCCTGTGACCTGACCTGTCCCCGTCTGACCTGTGACCTGACCTGACCTGTCCCCGTCTGACCGCGGCCTGTGACCTGACCTGTCCCCGTCTGACTGCGGCCTGTGACCTGACCTGTCCCCGTCTGACCTGTGACCTGACCTGACCTGTCCCCGCCTGACCGCGGCCTGTGACCTGACCTGTCCCCGTCTGACCGCGGCCTGTGACCTGACCTGACCTGTCCCCGTCTGACCGCGGCCTGTGACCTGACCTGTCCCCGTCTGACCGCGGCCTGTGACCTGACCTGTCCCCGTCTGACCGCGGCCTGTGCCCGGTTCCAGAGCCGTTTGACACGGCCTCCTGGCTGCTGGTGGCTCTGGTGGCCATCCAGGCCGCCGGCGCCGCCATCTTCATCTTCGAGTGGCTCTCCCCCATCGGATACGACATGAAGGTACGGCCAGCGGCGGACGTCGAGGGGCAGTACGGCCAGCGGCGGACGGGGGGGGGGCAGTACGGCCAGCGGTGGACGTGGGGGGGGGGGGCAGTACGGCCAGCGGCGGACGGGGGGGGGGGCAGTACGGCCAGCGGCGGACGGGGGGGGGGCAGTACGGCCAGCGGCGGACGGGGGGGGGGGGCAGTACGGCCAGCGGCGGACGTGGTGGGGGGGGGGGGGGCAGTACGGCCAGCGGCGGACGTGGTGGGGGGGGGGGTCAGTACGGCCAGCGGCGGACGGGGGGGGGGCAGTACGGCCAGCGGCGGACGGGGGGGGGGGGGGCAGTACGGCCAGCGGCGGACATTAGAGCATTGGACACGGCCGTCCCGCTAGATACCACTTAAAAGGAATATACCACTTTAACATGGAATTATGAACTGGATTAGCAGTTTTGTAGCTTGAGCTGAGACAAGCACAAATCAGGAGATTTTTACGCCCTAATGATCACCCATAGGCAAAGGTTTCCATTTCTCGTTCCGAAAAGAGTGCCTAAGTTGTAGAGGAATGTTTCACTTGTAGAAGAATGCCAAGAATGCAGCCACCTGTCGCAGAGGCTAAGCTCAGCCAATCAGTATGCAGTTGCTTTTGAACTACGCAGTATGATTGGTCAACGCGTAAAAATTTTCCGCGCCACCGCTAGCTACCCTCCATCAAGGATGGAATAAAGTTATTCCCATAGGCGCGGGAGCCGGGGGGCAGTGGGGGCAGCTTGCCCCCCCCCCCCCAACTCTGGGGCCGTGGGGGTGGTGCCCCCACAGCTTTGAGACGGAATACCACACTTTTTTGCAAATGTTTTCTTTTTTGTTGAAAAAGCCGAGGGATGAAAAACAAGTGGCCTAAAACCGGTGAGAAAACTAGATTTGGGGGTACCCTAGGTTGATCTCTATTATGGTGTGCCCCCCAGTCGGAAAGTAGTTCCCGCGCCCCTGGTTATTCCTTATAGGTATGCAAATAGTAAAAAATCCTTTTGTAAATATTTTCTGTTCTGATCATTTAAAGCATAAAAATCATAAAAAAGACTACATAATTTGAAGAAGTGGTATCGGTATATTTCCTTTGGGCGGCTGTTGGCTGACCGCTAGCCCTGCCGTCCGCAGTCCGTTGTGCGCGGTCTACACTGTTCGCCGACCGGCCTGTGGTTGTCGGCTCCACTCTGGACCGCTGAGCTGTTGCACTGTCACTGCACTGCTAAACTGCTGCACTGTCACTGCACTGCTAAACTGCTGCACTGTCACTGCACTGCTAAACTGCTGCACTGTCACTGCACTGCTAAACTGCTGCACTGTCACTGCACTGCTAAACTGCTGCACTGTCACTGCACTGCTAAACTGCAGCCACTGTCACTGCACTGCTAAACTGCTGCACTGTCACTGCACTGCTAAACTGCAGCCACTGTCACTGCACTGCTAAACTGCAGCCACTGTCACTGCACTGCTAAACTGCAGCCACTGTCACTGCACTGCTAAACTGCTGCACTGTCACTGCACTGCTAAACTGCTGCACTGTCACTGCACTGCTAAACTGCTGCACTGTCACTGCACTGCTAAACTGCTGCACTGTCACTGCACTGCTAAACTGCTGTACTGTCACTGCACTGCTAAACTGCAGCCACTGTCACTGCACTGCTAAACTGCAGCCACTGTCACTGCACTGCTAACCCAGCTAACAATTTGCCGTTGTTACAACGTCGTTTAAACGTTGTCAAATGGTTACCACAACGTCCCGATTTATCGTTGTGACAACGTAATTTTGTAGACTCCAGACAACGGCGTGACAACGTCATCCGACCATGCATTTGAATGTCATCACAACGTTTCTGTAACGTGGCCGTGACGTCCCAAAACTGTTCTTACAACGTCCCGCCAACGTTATGAAATGTTTTCTGTAACGTACCAACAGTGTTTCTGGAACGTTGTCACCACGTTTCCGCAACGTAACTACAAGGAGTATAGAACGCTTTGGCAACGTCTCTGCGACGTTTTTATCACGTGCGCACCACGTTGCCGCTACTTCGTATTGCCGTCCCTGCGACCCTGAGTAAACGTCCTAAACATTTTCGCAACGCCCTCTCAACGTGTTCGCAACATACTCAGAATGTGTTTCCGACGCTCTCTTCCCGTTCTCTAGACTTGTAAAAAAGGCATGTAAGAAGTGTATATTTCAATACATCATACAGGTCAATTTACACAAAAAAAAACGACGGCATCGGTGATGGGGCATGGGGCCCAGGGGCGCCCCCATGGGGGCGTGGGACGGAATTGGGTTCTACCGGCTCTGGCGCTAGCCGCTAGCACGCCAGAACTGATGGAAGTTCACTTCTTCACTAACCCTCGCTGGGAGGATCACTCGGCGGACCGTTAGGCACCGGCTCATTTGCGGCCTCGATGTCCCTAGGCAGCTGGCAATGCCTGACTAGACGGTCTGCGCACCCCCCGTTCCGGTCGCAGCTTCCGGACAGCCACTCCGCTACCGCATTGCCGACAGTAGGCCTGCCACAAGGCGCGCTGACGAGTTGCAGGACGTCTGCGGGAAGACATGAGGGAAAATCAGACATTCAATTCATGAAAAAAATCACAAAAATACCTGCACCACTTTCCGTAACAGTGCAACAGGCTAGATCAAACATGTCAACACCTTAGAGGCTAGAGCTACAATGAACTATAGCTTAGACCGCACGATATTACAAGGCACACTCTTGCAAATGCTACTCGTAAATGGTACTTTGACTTACCAGTCAGAGCAACAATCGCATCAAACGCAGACAACTGGCGCTATCTTTCATCTTCCAGCTATCTCAGCCGCGCCCGCCGCCGGCCCTCACTGCTCGCTCGCGCCGCGTAGACTGCGGCTCGGCCGGCTGGCTCTGAACGCCGGCCGGTGACACTGACGTCACGGCCCCTCAGGCGAGGTCAGGGCGCGAGCCACCGTTCGCCTGAGTGGCGGCCCGCGTGGCTTGCTGGCAGCCGCGGATAACAGCCGCGTTTACATAGGGATAGTTGCAAGCCTCTAGCTCCGCCTGTGATGTTGCAAAACATGCCAATGACGCTTTGCAATTTACACATGTTATATATATATATATATATATATATATATATATATATATATATATATATATATATATATATATATATATATATATATATATATATATATATATATATATATCGTTAAACAGCACCGCAGTTTTGGCTTTAGATAGTTTTCTGTTAAGTTTTTGTATCTTGTTGAAAGTTTTCTTGATTGAATCAGGAACTGTATTGATTATATCGGTTATACTCATTTAAGTCATGTCAACGCGTCGGAAAACATGACTTAAATGAGTATAACCGATATAATCAATACAGTTCCTGATTCAATCAAGAAAACTTTCAACAAGATACAAAAACTTAACAGAAAACTATCTAAAGCCAAAACTGCGGTGCTGTTTAACGACATATGCCTCAAAGAAAATATCCTGCCCAAATACTCTGATATATATATATATATATATATATATATATATATATATATATATATATATATATATATATATATATATATATATATATATATATATATATATATATATATATATATATATATATATATATATATATATTACAGAGCGATAGAGAGAGAAAGGTATCAGAATTTACTTGTAAAAACACCGCTAGTTATTCAGTACCTATAATGTCAAGGTTGTGAAAAACCGTTTTAGCAACGTGTTGGCGACCAACAGCTGACAACGTGAACAGTCCAAGTGTTAAAATATGTCAAATTTAACGATGAAAACTGAATATGCGCATTGAAAGTCAAAGAAAATGCATTATATGGCCATATATGTCACCATGCATTATCAAAATATAATGCTGCAAGTGCGCGGTTGCTGCAACGTACCAATAAAACGTTGTCACGACGTTTTACCACGACTTTCGGACCAAACCATGGCTTCACAACGTTCAGAACGTTGCTACACCGTAATTAAAACGTAATTTCGCAACTTACCGAAACACGACGTCGTGACAACGTTGTAGTAACGTTTCCTGTTAGCTGGGAAACTGCTGCACTGTCACTGCACTGCTAAACTGCTGCACTGTCACTGCACTGCTAAACTGCTGCACTGTCACTGCACTGCTAAACTGCTGCACTGTCACTGCACTGCTAAACTGCTGCACTGTCACTGCACTGCTAAACTGCTGCACTGTCACTGCACTGCTAAACTGCTGCACTGTCACTGCACTGCTAAACTGCTGCACTGTCACTGCACTGCTAAACTGCTGCACTGTCACTGCACTGCTAAACTGCAGCCACTGTCACTGCACTGCTAAACTGCAGCCACTGTCACTGCACTGCTAAACTGCTGCACTGTCACTGCACTGCTAAACTGCAGCCACTGTCACTGCACTGCTAAACTGCTGCACTGTCACTGCACTGCTAAACTGCAGCCACTGTCACTGCACTGCTAAACTGCTGCACTGTCACTGCACTGCTAAACTGCTGCACTGTCACTGCAGTGCTAAACTGCAGCCACTGTCACTGCACTGCTAAACTGCTGCACTGTCACTGCACTGCTAAACTGCAGCCACTGTCACTGCACTGCTAAACTGCTGCACTGTCACTGCACTGCTAACCTGCTGCACTGTCACTGCACTGCTAAACTGCTGCACTGTCACTGCACTGCTAAACTGCAGCCACTGTCACTGCACTGCTAAACTGCAGCCACTGTCACTGCACTGCTAAACTGCTGCACTGTCACTGCACTGCTAAACTGCTGCACTGTCACTGCAGTGCTAAACTGCTGCACTGTCACTGCACTGCTAAACTGCTGCACTGTCACTGCACTGCTGAACTGCTGCACTGTCACTGCACTGCTAAACTGCAGCCACTGTCACTGCACTGCTAAACTGCTGCACTGTCACTGCACTGCTAAACTGCTGCACTGTCACTGCACTGCTAAACTGCTGCACTGTCACTGCACT